ATTAAAGATTTTATTTATTTATTTGACAGAGAGAAATCACAAGTAGGCAGAGAGGCAGGCAGAGAGAGAGGAGGAAGCAGGCTCCCTGCTGAGCAGAAAGCCCAATGTGGGGCTCGAACCCAGGACCTGGGATCATGACCTGAGCCGAAGGCAGCGGCTTAACCCACTGAGCCACCCAGGCGCCCCTTAAGATTTTTTTTAATTTGACAGAGATCACAAGTAGGCAGAGAGGCAGTCAGAGAGAGAGAGAGGGAAGCAGGCTCCCTGCTGAGCAGAGAGCCGATCCAGGACTCGATCACGGGACCCTGAGACCATGATCTGAGCTGAAGGCAGAGGCTTAACCCACTGAGCCACCCAGGTGCCCCATGTAAGCACTTTATAAAACAAAATGCTATTCATGTGTTAGGCATATAGAAGGTACTTAAGATTCTCCTGTAATCAACCGGTGTGGCAATACTCCCCCTGCCCTGCCAAAACCTCCTTCATATTTACTGGCATCTTAATGTGGGTTGGCCCTGCATACAAATTAAACACAAAGATACTTGATTGACTCATTGGAGGAATACAGGTAAGCCCAACAGATTAAAATGTGTCAGCCTACTAGGGTTCATAATTCTTGCAATGAATTTGGCTTCTCCCTAATTAGTTTTTAGGTGGCAGTTTTTGAGGGATAGAATTTAGCTCAGAAACCTGCCCATATGTTTATTTCTCTGATGAAGGTTTTATCCTTGAGAAGATTAAGGAAATATGTGTAACACATATATTTTTCTGTTGCTTCTAGGTTTAAAGTTGGGTATTTGGTAGTGAATAAGTATTTGTATTTATTGAATTTGTATGGTAAATATTGACTGCCTCCATATACCCGGTACCATTCTAGGTCCTTGGTATCTATAGTGAACGTAACCAGAAATGCTCATATGGAGCTTAAATTCTAGTGGAGATTGTGTTTAATTATAAAATGGATTGTGTGCATAGTCTATACTACTTATTCTTTCAGGGTTTTAAAATTAATGGCAGCATATTAATAGCTGAAGTCTAATTGCCTTGTCCTTTGTGGATAAATTAGTTTAGCAATTGTTCGTTTATCTTAATGAATTTTATTGCAGTATTTGTAGGTGGAAAGTGTATATATAATGTTTTGATTGCCTTTTATTCTTAAACTTATTATTCAAACCTTTTAAATTGCTGTGGGTAAACAGTTTTTGAGAGTAGTGGGAGAGGGGGTGATTTTCTTTTTTCATGAGTGATTTGAGATCACAAATCATTGCCCTGAAATTATAAGCATTTATAAACTCAGACGCTTTATATCATTATTCTGTCACCATCTATTGATTTCGCTTATGTTTTTCAAAATTAGGATTAAGTGTATGGAGAATATAGAGAATATTGTAACAAACTACAGGAATGGGCTTTATGTTTGAAACCTGGGCCTACTGAGTTTTGCTTCTGGAAACTTGACTTATGTATGTAAGTCTTACAGTAAACAGGAATTTCTTGAGGTTGTTTTGCATCACTTGCTTGTACCTGGGAGTAGGCAAGGCACTTAGCCAATGTTCCAGAACAGTCATATGGGAGGGAAAACGGAGAGAAGAATCTCTTCCTGCCCCTCTCCTGCAGTGGCAAAGTGAATTAGAATCCTCACTCTGTGAGTGTTACCAACAGATGCACTTCCCTTTGGAGGATGTAGACTATTCTGATAGGAACATATACCATATATTCTTCAGATTTATACAATCATTTCTTGGTATCCATTAAAGCAATTTCTCATTTTGTCAGTTGGCATCTTTTCCTCGGTGACATCACTATCCCATTTTGACAACTACAGACCAATACCTAGAATTAAAAACCATAGCAATTAATTATATTTACTTCTATTTGTATGTTAAAAGTGGAAACATTATAGAAAAAATCCCCTTTGATCACATCACACTCATTAGTTCCATATCTTCTCTCCATCCCTATGGCACCATCGTAAATGGGTTTAACTTCTTCCCGTCTCCTTTGT